AGCTCCTTTCCCTGAAAAGACTGGCTCGTATAACTTGACAATGTTAGCATAGAACAATAGACCATTGAGTGTACCCACTGATACTGTTAAATTGAGAGCAATGAATAGAACCACAAGTAGTACACCCATCACTGCAAACAGAGCAATCCAACCTATCATCATGTAATTATTATGACACTGTCCACACTTGTTTGATCCCATTAGTAGACTGTATCCATCTCTACATGATCCACACATTCTTCCTCCTCTATTATCTACACATTGAGTATCAGTGTCATTGAACTGAAAGGTAACAGGATTAGGAGAACAATAGAGGAGACAGTCCTCATTGATAATGCATGCATTAGGATTGGTTTCATTAGCATTGAAAGGTGTACTGGTATGATATGTTCCAATCCACAGTAGACCATTGTGTGTAATGTTTAGACTATCTACATCACATGTCACATTCTCTCTTGAAACACTGCAATCACAAACACCTGAACTGTTTACACTGAAACCAATGGGACACTCATTAAGAATGAAATATGATTGAACTTTGTAAGGATAGTTTATGACCTCTATCATGATTTCATGTCTGGTGTATGTTAGTTTATCTGGTATGTATTCTATCAATGAACAATCATCAGTGATGTAGGCATATGCCATTGATACTTGATCAATTTTTATTAATACTGTTCCATCTCTTGGGGTAAACACACCGGTATTTAAAGTGGATACAAACAAAGTGACATTATATTTCAGTGGTTGACCTGAAAATACTTGTTGCTCACATTCATCATGATTTTGTGATGTCCCATTGCAGTCAAGATCACAAAAAAAGAATCTAACTGGATTGCTTGATACATTAACCTTAGAATTTGTCAAGTTGAAATAATTGAATGAAAAGATAAACCCATATATATCATTTCCAGTTACTCCAGCAGTATTATTCTTTAATGTAAGAGGAATGGAGCTGGAGCCTTGTTTAAATTGAAATTTACTGTTCCCATCAATATAAATTCCTCCTCCTTTATAAGTTGCATGATT